AACTTCTATACAACGAAAGGAGACTGCGACCACACAAAAGGCCACACCATCTTGGTCTTCATATCTTGGAACTACTTATGTCTGATTAATAGATTGAAGGAGAGAGAGGGTGCTGGGCCTCCGTCAAAAAGAGGGCGATTGCCTGGTCATGGTTCCAATTCCACTCTACATTCGTACAAAATGTTATGTTAATCTCATCAACCAGACCAGACGTGCCAGATTACGCAGTCCCTATCATGCTTTTCCTTAGGCGGTTAAGCGTTAATGACCCTATACTGAGTGGTTTGGACAAGTGGCTTCGTAACTTGACTTACATGCTAACAAGCTCATTGTCTAAGGCATACTTGTTTACAGACTTACGCAATCTCGGTCAGGGCTTGGGCCATTAGGCCTTGATGATCAGAGCCTGGTATTAGCTGATACAGAACCGTGATTGCGTATAGACAGTAACAAATACATACACACACGCGTAAAAGTAGCAGGACTAGTATGAAAGATAATTAGCCAAATCACTATAACTATATATTTAAGTTTTTAATTTTCTTTTAGCTTAATTGAGTCCATATAAGAGGTAAGACAGAGCCGGATAGCCTTCTTGCCCAAATGTTAACCTAAGATTTTTACAGGAATGAGATCCAGCTCTGATGACGTCCATCATATGATGGACGACAGCTTAGCCGTTTTTTACTCGAAACAAAGGGGGGAAGTCTCGTGGACTGCGTCAACCTGAACATCGTTTAAAAGCCAAACAGCTGCAATAAAACGGGATCCATCCGTCCTTCTGGCGATATCGACTTACGAATCTCTTCTTTATTCACTTTATACAAAATGAAAGTCCCCCAAACAATTATTTAGGTCGGAAACTGCCTTAGCACTCTGAACCTATTTTCGTTGAAAACCCCTCAAGTTACAGCGCTTTTGTTTTAGGTTTTTTCTATTTTGGGACCGACGCAAACTTCTTGGTCCTTTGTATCATTATAATCAATTTTATATTTAACTTCTTACTTTTCTCCGTTTTCTACAATGAGTTTTCTTATAAAATGTTTTGTTATATAACCCATACCCATTTAACTTACTTCAGTCCTTTATTCTCTTATGAGCATAGCTTCAGCCTGAACTTCTGACTCCCGCTTCTGATTGGCTGGTTGATCGTTACTCTTATCTCGCTCCTGCCTTCAAACAAGCGACCGGACGATATGGAGATCAGCATTCCCAAATTAGTAATCAAAGTGAAATTCACCGCCCCCTCCGAGAAACAAGATGGCGTGGCGGCCGAAACACTGGACGTGGACGCCATAGCTATGGTAGGCACCTTAGAGGAGCTGCTATTGGAGGACGCCAACGCCACTGAGGCTCTATTCGTATACACACGATGTTTTGTGGGTTAAAGGACCTCTTGAACTGTTGTTAGCGTCTAACCCTTCCTTTTTTGCCTCAAAAAACAATAAAAAGTCTATATATTTGAGCTGAGCCTACTGAATGAACTCAAATCGTGTTGGTTCATGCGCACCACTTTGAACTGTTTCTTTGACATTGTCTAAATTTGATTATGGTAACATTACCATGAAATAGTAAACATTTATCACCAATAGTGGATTCATTATTTGATGGAAACTGTTCCTTAACCAAAGCTCTTAACCTCACAAATGGTCATATATCCTGAAGTGGGCAGATTTAAATGACTCACTTTCATCACGGTCTTAAAGCGTACTTGACTAGTTTAGACATGTTCTGTTAGAAAGTGGTGGGCATAAAACTACAAATTTTGCCCGACTAATTCAAATGCTCTAGGTGAGTTACATATCCCTTGACTACTTATGAGGCTAGGATATCTCAGCATAAAAAAGAGCGATAAATTCTAACCGAGAATAGGCATGCAGATAATCCTGCCATTTTGTATACAATAGCTGGTTGGATTGACTCTAATGGGCTGGACCATTTTATTTGTTACTATTTATTTTTCCAATAGTTCATACAGCTAATCAGAGTCCTGAAAATCACTTATATTTTTTGGTATCCATCTATATTTAAATTTGTCTCTTTATATATTCAATGATACTTATATTTTTTATTATTTTGTATATTTCCACTTTGTTCTACTATAATTAAGGTGAGACAGACACTGTTGCCTTTCTATCTACCATAAGCATTTTTTATCGCTATTATATCTTAACGTAGTATAATTTACGGCCTTCAGTAATATTTTCTTCCTCTTTTATTGAGGTGAGTCCGAATGTTGTTTGAAGAACATAGGCTGATATTTTCGAGACAAAAAATTCTTCTGTTACTTTTCTTAAAGCTAAATTTGAGTTATCACCAAAACCAACATTACCTGATACTAACTTTTTCACTTGATGTTATGGCTATAATTTTTGACATTCTATTCCAGATTTACTGTCTTCCTTATTCACATATAGCTTCGTTTTCGTTGTAAAATACCGTTACTTATTTATTTTATTTGCACTTGCGCGTGCTTTGCATTTTTGTGCTCATTACTTCAATATACCCGTTTTACATTATATATTATTGTAATTATTTTAATTCTATTCCAGTAGTAAATAGTTCAACTAAGGTTCCGACGGTCCACTTCGCTTGTTGACCTGGATAACCTAATAAAATTCTATCTAGATCAGCTTAATTTTATTTCAATTTAGCTACCTTGATCACTTTTATTGATGTAATCAAATACTATATAGTCAACTTTCTTGTTTACTTTTGATCTTAAATCCATATATAAGCTCGCTGATAGCTCTTAATAATACTCGGTAATACATGCATACATAGTTGAAATTAAAATGGATATGAAAATTACAATAAAGTGTTATTAGCATTTTAAATTAGGTGATGAATCTCGTTTTAAAATTGAAATTGAAATGTTTATTTTTACATATTCTGAAGCCGTGCCTTATCTAATCTTGTAGTGTAGAGAGATACCATACCAATCGGATTTTGCCGTTTTTAAAAAAAAATGGCATTACCGACTTAGATTTCTTCTATCAATGGGAAAACGCTTCAGGCCTGTGGTATAGACTTTTTAATGTTTTATTTTCTCTAACCATATTAAGTTATTTAATCACACTTCATTTCATGTTTTCATAATTGCGGTTTTAATTTTTAATGTCCATTTCCTAAATGTGGCTTTTTGCTCTAAATTATCCCCCTTAGAGATTAGTACCTAGACGTAAATGATTATTCTGTTGCTCTATTCAATTATATAAAGGTCTATATCGATCACTTCCTCAGTATCATCTCGTAAGTAGCTAGTTCAGCTTTATTTGTATTACTTTTTGATTTATTAGTTTCAGTTCTATAATATTATTTATCCTTTATATTTTTCTCAAAAAATCTTTTAAACATAGTGCTCAACAGAATATCGTCAATTAAGATGGTTTGAATTAGGGTAGTTGACTTAGATATAAAGAGTATAGTGTTACCCTCCATTTTTGTCGTTGACACTTTTTTGTGTGTTATAGTGGTATAAAATAGTTTTTGCACCTTGTTCGTGTTGTCATGGCGACCTAGTTAAATGCGCCTTGTTCGAGGTCCTCCGGTATAGTAGTTATTGTAATTAACAGTGTGGGGCCGTCGAATAAAAACATTCCCAGTTGTTCAGCCTGCATCCTAGTCAAAATCGTCAGAGTCGTCATTTTTAACTTCATCTACAACCCATCAGAAACAAGTGAAGTCAATCCTTTGACTAACTTTTTGACGGACGACTGTGCTATCACTCCTCTCCATCATCGCAAATCTACCTACTGTACATTCGTAACTTACTTGTCCCACATCATAACATTTGACTTGTTTATATTCCACTCTTCTATAGGTGTGTCCTTTTTGGTAAGTTAGACGTAACGACATCACACCTGCAGTTATGATAATCAACTGTCTCTCGATTTGCTGATCAGGCTTAGGCCTTTAGGCGAATCTCCTTCATGGGACCGTGGATCCATTTTTGATCTTTATAGTTAACTAATATTACTCGTTTCCAGTCTTAGTATACGCTTACTTTAGGCCATATTTCTCAAGCTTTAGATGGCGTACACTGTCGCCCTACCGAACATAGCAGCTAGGCTCTGATTCCTATGCTTGAATATACCATGCATTGTCCTCAAAGGTCATCTCATTTATTTGACCCGTCTATTCCGAGCAAACTGTAAACGTTTGGTCGCCTGCTGCTTCTCGATTAGATTTCTAGTCTATTTAAGTATAATGTCTAATTTCCGTTACTATTGTAATTATCCGTCCTGCGACCGGCAGGACCTAAAATCGTGGTTTTTTATTTGAGCAGACTACATTTACAGAACACGTCTTATATTTCTTGATTTCCGAATAATTCTCGACTGTTTCCTCAGTACTGTCTCTTTTCCTTTGATTAACGTTACGTTCTTGATCGAAAGTAAGAGCGGCTGAGGAACATTAGGAAATCAAGCGAAAGCGTTCTCAGAGAGTACCCTATGAGACAGGGCTAAGTATGAGGTACTCAAGAAGGATCCAACTATGAAGATCAATAGAACATCACATGATATCCTGTAAGTTTTGCATAGGGACGGCGAGATCGATGGATGGATGATAAATTCACCTGTAAGAAAGTATGCATGAATACTATAAGTTTACTGATTACCAAGGAGATACGCAAAAGAGAATCACGAAGACTGATAGTCAGTAATAGATATTGAGTAACACAACTTGGCAAAGTTCGTATGTTTGAAATCCAAAAAGTTAAACGATAGGTTTTTAGTCGAATTCCTGCCTAGCAGTTTCGGGACTAGGAAGACAGATAATAATGAGCTTCATAGTCATATTGACTAAAAATCCATTCGAAGTGCAGCAGGCGGCCTATGTTAGACGTTTGCAGCTTGTTCAGTGATGTGTGATGAATCAGTGAAATGACCTGTGGAAAAAAATACCTGATATTTGCGTGCATAGGACCCAAAGCCCAGTTGCTCTGCTCCTTGAGTTGGCAGTGTACTAGCCTTTAAAGGTTTCTTAAGTTGCACCTTGGGACTGAAAGCCAGTAAAAAATATTAAATTAAAAAGAAGAGAAGCGGATTTACGTTTTTTTATGTTATGACGTCAGATACGTATCAACAATCCGAGAGGAATGTAAACAACATGTGCGTTGACGCCACGCTTAACTCTTAAATTAACATATACCCATAGTTTGATTGAATATATGAAGACCAAGATGTTGTGGCCTCTGGTGTGGTCGCAGTCTCTTTTCAATTGATAGAAGTGGGTTGACCTCGTCGCAACTTGGTCTTGTTTTCAGGGAGACAATGTAGAACACACCTAGTCCGAAGTCGTCTGCCATAGTAGTTGTTATGATTCCCAGCATCTGACCGTGGACCTGATACATTCTCAAACGTTTCGCCGGCATTATCAGTGAGTTTTGCCATTCGCCGCATCAAGCTACGAACTTGTCAAAGAGACAAGTGAAGCCA